TACCCCTAGTTGTAGCCTCGTATTCCAGATCTTAACATTTAATATAAAAATTTGAATGTTCTATGTGTCATATTCTGAGTCCAGAAGACGGTGCACTTTGACAACATAGGGCACGATGAAATGAATTGAACTTATTTTGTATTCGTATAGGGAATGATTGTATACAAACAATAGCTAAAGAAATAAAATTTTATTTCATTTCATAAATTAGAATTTAGCAATTGTTATAATTGAAGGACCCATGTACTTTAATGTAAATATGTATAGGCCACAATCTCATGAGTGTTTATAAATATATGACTTCTTAATCTTTTAACACCACTTGATAATATGCAATTGTAATACACATACACATATAATTTTATATATAGTCAGTTTTCTATGACACTTATTTCTGAGCAAGATACATATACACTACTTTCAAAAGGAAGAGGTGACCTCGTTGCCAGTTTTCTCGTTTGAGCCACAATTTTAGCCGGGTCAATCACCCAACGTGCTAGATCTATTTTCCAATAGCAGATTTTGCTGCTTATCTCCTTCCAAACCTCGCTGACCGTCCGTATCGTACCCTTCCATAACTACCTCACCAAATCTTTTCCCAAACACCTTCTAGGAGTCCTAGAACGGTATCATTGGTATCAGAGTCCGACAAATCCTAGATTTTTTAGGATTTTATTCTCATTGCCCCAAATTGAAATATTCATAACCTAAATCTTCGACAAAATCAATACCCTAATTATTCCTTTTGCATTCCCTAGCTCTAGACCCAAAATTTTCAAAAACTAACCTCCCTAACTCCACTGAAATTTCACCCCGATGCATACCACCGAAAACCAGAACCCTAAATTACCCTTTGCTTTTAGCCCACATTTTGGTTGGAAGAAAGAGATGCCATTCTTTCAAGGAGAAACCGTTAATTAGATGTTCAAAAAATCGCTATGGAGGATATGCAATGAGAAATTCTTCAATTGTAACAAAAATTTGCTGCCTTTGAGATGAGATAATTCATTGATGTCAATCGTAGCCACAACAGTGACTTGTTAGATTGAAAGGTGGAAGTGAATCCTTTCCATTAGACAATTTCCAATTATGAAGAATCAATGCTTCGAAGATTGGACATGAAATATCAGAGGAGAAGCCATTATCTTGGAACAAAGCTGAATTGTTTGGATATTGATGGATGGATCCCGAGTTCATAGCAACTCCAAGCAATCAAACAAATCTTTGAGTACAGGGATGTTCCACCTAATATAAGGGAAAACAACTGCCATTAAGTTAAAGAAGGGTGTATCTCTATGGTGGGAGAATGTGAAATGTAAGATTACCATTTGGTCTAAGATGAAATTGGAGATACAATGCAAATACTTTTCCTCACATTACTGATAGGATATGTCATTATACTTCATCACTTACGCTATGGAGATTCTTCTGTAGAGTAACACACAACTGAATTTGATAAGCTAATGCTAAAATATGAAATGGTAAAACTAGAGGAACACACTGGGTATCTTGGAGGACTAACGTCGTATATTGGGAATGCAACCGTATTGGTCTCTACTCGATATATAGACCCTACCTTTGACAGAACATGTTCAATATACTTCACCACCTACGCTAGAGAGAATTATTTGTGGAGTAATACACAACTGAATTTGATCAACTAACGCTGAAATATGAGTTGGTAAAACTAAAGGAACACACTATAACAAGGTATCTTGGAGGACTGATGTCGTATATTAAGAATCCAACCTTATTGGTCTCTACTCGATACATAGACCCTAACTTTGAATGTGGAGAAACGTCAACAGTTGACAACCACACCTTGTAGGCAGAGTTTAACCTCAGGATCATGCAACAAGAGCATACCCACTAGAACATCTCAGCTAGCCCTGCCCAAGAAAAACTAGTTCAGAGTGGAAAAGTAGTAAAGACCTCCAACACTCCTAAATCCGTCTCAACAAAAAGTGCCTCAAGTGCCAAAACTTTGGGCATATTGTATCTGATTGCCCAAATAGGAGGGTGATATCCTTTATTGAGTAGGGAGCAGTTGAAGAAATAGACATTGATACATGAGACATTTAAGAAGTTGAGGGCACAATGAGGAATATCAACTTCCAGCTGATGAGAAAATGATGCTAGTGATCAAGTTGAACTCATGAAAGAGGCTCTAACATGATTAATATTGATTCTCTTAGAAGACAATGAGTTTGAGAGCCAATACTAGAAAAGGGGCAGCCCTTGTTGAAAGGGTTGTCAGATATCTCGATCGACAATTTATCTCCTAAGTGGTTGCCAATGGGGCAGTCCAACATGACATATTTCATTTCAAATTTGGTTCCTCCAAATATACTTGTTTGTTGGATGTGTCTAACGGAGTACAAGAAGTGGGGAAAACATGTTAAATATTTAATAACTCGATACTTAGTTCATGAGACTACTCGTCTATGTGCAGTTCTAGCTCAGCTTGTGCCTAAGATGGATGGTTATATTTTTATCATGACAGACTTTGGGAAGGCCATACATTTTAGAGCTGTCTTGGATATACATTAACATAGATTTTACAGTGGGACCACCTCAGACACAATAAAGCAATGATTTTGTTATGATGATGGTGGATCAATTCTAGAAATCTCTAGAGAAGAAGAAAAAGTCTCCTAGCCCAGGAGAATGATGCGGGAGCTGGTTGGTTCCACAAAACCATGGAAGCCCGCATTTTAGCGGGATCGTGTGAAGGTCCCATGATCACAAAATAGGAGGGAGAGCACCCAATTCACGTTTTTAGCATTTTTATTTTTTCTATTTCTTTTATTTCTTAATCTGGGTATTTCTATTTTGTTATTTTAAATTATGATTAATGCTATTATGAACCTATTTATTTGTGATTTTTTTGCTATTTAGAAGCCTTTTTTTTGTTTGTGAGGTTTGGAGATTGGAATATTTGATTTCTACCCTAAGGAGTGATGTTTCATTTTCCTTTTATAAGTGGCGTATCTGCATCTTGTTTAGGAATTGGTGTTGGAACCTCCTCTCTACCTGTACCTAGCTGATTCATCATTGGACTGCTGTTTTCAGTCGGGGCAGCCTCTGAATGATGTCTATTCTCTTCCAATTGTGGTTGACCTCACATATTTTCGTTTCCTCGCTATTCTACGACTACTTTTCTGCAAAATCCGCTTCCCAAATACCTTCTAGGAGCCCTAGAATGCTATCATAGAGATTTCTACCTTATTGCAATAAACCTCAACATAAGATGAAACATCTACTCATGTCTCGTTCTTCCTCAACCTTCTGCAAATGTTCACTGTAGTCAGCAATACAACCTAAAATGGTATTAGAGTTAATTTAGAATAAAATTCACGTATCATCTAATGTTTATAACAAAATTTCCTCCGTACCTTTTATTTATTTATGTATGTATATTATTGTAATATGTTTTTGTGTGTACATGTGCAACATGTGAAATGATATGTATGCATATATGTTACACATACGTATAGAGACATGCATTTTTTTATGTCCTTGAATATCAGCTCTATTTTTATCTTAGTTAAATTAATTTAATTTTGAACGAGCCATTATTAAATTAATGTAAATTAAGTTGTCTTTTGAGTCAATTAAAATTTGGGCAATACAAAGTGAGTTATGATTTTAGATCATAATTTCTGTCCTGTAGTGTTTTAATATGATTTTAAGCAGTGAATTATCCTCTGCGTTTGTGCTGCTACATTTTTCTGTTTGAACTCCACGTAAAATTTTCTATTTATACTGATATAATAATTGCTTTCTTGATTGCAGGTGACGAATCTATTTGCGGTTAGCAGTAGATATGGGACACCTGATGACTTCAAGCGTTTGGTAGATGAGGCTCATGGTCTTCTCCAGTCTTTTAACTGTTTATGTTTTCATATTTCTTTTGGTACAGCATAGTGCTGGTTTTATTTTTTAGGATATAATAAAATGCAAATAGCATAAGATGTTCTTTGAATTCCTTAACCTTCTTTGGAAATATAATTTGGTAAAAAATTTTGTCCGTATGAAATCCCTGAATGCTTTAGCTTTGAATCTTGCGCTCTTAAGGAGAAGCCAAGTTCTTTATTTCGTTTTTAGTGTCCACTTTTCTTTCCACAAACTGCTTATTGTTGCACATATCTTGAAATTTTTATTTATATTCTCTTTAGAGTATATACTCTTAATTGGAAGATGCAATTCTCCTATTGCCAAGTTTATATGCATCAATTTCATCTAGAAATTGTGATAACTTTTTCTTAACCTCGATCTAGAAATTCATATTATCAGATGAATTTTATTCAAATTGAAATTGAAGTCAGTGTTATGTTGGTTACGATTAATTGTGGAGAACTATGGATGGGGAGGAACTAATGGTAGCCTTGGCCAACATTAAAATGACATATTAATTAATATGTTTGGTCTCTGTACCGTCTTTATATGGAATTAACAAATACTTGAAAAGATTTGTCTTAGCTAATTTAAACTCACCAAAGCTGATAAATTTTGCAAGCTTTTCATGTTATATAATGAAATTGGAGTGCAACCTTTAATACTTTCAATACTAGTTAAGCTAAAAAGCTTGTTTCCAACCAAATTGCATCTTTTAGTTAGTATATTTTTGTTTATATTTGTAAACTCATCTTTAAGGTTGCTCGACTAAGCTGTTGGCAAATCTTTTCTGCCATTTAACCTTTAATTTGGCAAATCGTATGCTAGTCCCTTATTATGGGAATTGTTTTCCTAGTTATGCTAATAAGGAGATGCTTATCAACTGCATGATTTCTTTTCTTGGTTTCTTAAATCAGGTAAAGTACAGTTGGCACCTTAAAATTGGGCAGAGTAAATTGTACAATGTTATTTCTGTTATTTCTTTTCCTGAATATCATATTGCAACGATTCAGAGACAAAATTTTCCGTGTAATGTCTTCATTTGGTCATTTCCATTAATAGAAATTATTGCATGGTTTGGGGTAGGGTGGTGCTATTTTGGTAATGGGCTTATGATTTATTTCTGCCCATGGCAACAAATAGCACACTTATTGTGCATGTTTGGAGAATTAAATAGATTGACAAGACTAAAATTGACTTTGGATAAATGTGCATGAGAAATTACGGCAATCTTGTCATTTAACATGGTTCTTGATATTTTTTGAAATTGTCAAAAGGGAAACTTAGTTGTTGCAGAAGTTTAGCTGCCTTTCTGATCCTCTTTACGATTTTAGGGACAGCTAATGTAATTGATAAACTTTACCCTACAATTTTCTCAAAATTTAGATATCTGTTGTTCACCTCTATTAAATTATTGTAGCTATTGCTTTATTTTTAAATTTGTAAATTGGTAAAAAATGTTCTAAATGAGATATTAGCAGGCCTCTTAATACTCTGTGAATGTTCCTAAATATTAAAAAAAATCCTAATCAGACTGCTTTTTATTTTCATTCGGATTCTGGATTATGTTCATTTCACATGCCAAAAATAGTGTAAATATTTATTTATTTTTTATATAGTCCTAATTAAGTCAATTTAATTGGTTACCATGTCTAGGCCTTGGTCTTCTGGTGTTTCTGGATATTGTCCATTCTTATGCAGCGGCAGATGAGCTTGTTGGCTTATCTCTATATGATGGATCAAATGACTGCTATTTTCATTCTGGTATCAATCTTTTTGTGAGTTTTATTAATATCTATTTTTCTGCTTAGAATGTATCAAGCATTAAGATGACTTGCTTTTGGTTCTTATTTTTTGCTTTAATTTTTCTAGTTGCACTCTCCCCCAATCATCAGTGATGTGCATTCTAGTTCGAAAAGTTGCTCCTTATCTCCTTCTTTCGCTTTTTGTTTGAAAGTAATCTTCTCATCAATCTTCTTAAGAGATTGAAAGCTTTCCAAGCTAAGCGCTCTATTGAAGCTACATAATTGACTTAGTTTGCTCGCAAAAAGTCATTTGGCTTATTCTATCTAATCAAATAGTAAAAATCACTTGTTTTATTCCATCTAATCCACTGAATGAGATTCGATCGAAGTTAATTACTAAGGGCTTGTTTGGATAAGTTTGTTTTTTGTTTTGATTCTTGTTTTTTCTTTTTTTTTAAAGAACATGTTTGTTTAGTATGTTTTTTTATATATTTTTATTTTTTGTTTCTAAAAACTAATAAACATGTTTTTGAAACACTCAAAATAACTTTCAGTTGTTTGTAATCTTTTAAGAAACAACCATATCTTAATCAAACATACCAAACATGTTTTGTTTCAAATTAAAACATAAGCAAAACAAAATAAAAATAAGAAATAAAAAACAAAAAAATAAAAGGGATTCCAAACAACCCTTAAATTAAAGACTATTTATCTGAGCTTAAGAGCTTAAAGTTGTATGTTTTCTAGGAACTTTGATGGTAAAATTATACCAAGACTTGCAGCCTCCAGTGATATCGAAGTTTACCCAAACCACAATGGAAATATAAGTATTAATGCCTGAATTCAAATAAGCTACAACAAAGATTCTTCAAAACGAAAAATAAACAATAACAACACAAAAAGACACCATCGGACGTCGACGAAGGGGATCGATGACGGCTGTCCAATAGGTAGATGGGTGGGAGGAGGTGGTGGTGACAACACAATGGGGTGTGGAATGTGGTTTTGGGTGATGCTGTAGCAAGAGAGGGGACTACAGGGGCTGTCGGCTACAAAAAAGTTTGGTAGTGGGGCTGCGACAGCAGTTGGATGGGCTGGAAGGGTTTGCGACAGATCTGTGAGGTGGTTGGGGGGAGTTCAATAGATCTAGAGGGTGGGAAGAGTTGTAGCAAGCTTGGAAGGTGTACGGGAATGTTGCGGCGGGTCTGGCAGGGGAAAACAAATAAGTGAGATGAGTGCAAGAATATGGTAGCAAACAGGGAAAGGGAAGATACACACCACTTTAGACGAGTTACAACCGGAGCACATTCTCGGGTCAGATTCAACCCTAGAAGGGAAAAGAAAGGATGCTGGAGGTTGTCCAAATAGAAATCTCGACCAAAACTAGCCCTATAAAAAAATAACGAATATATATAATAGATAGCTAAGAGGGAGAGTCTCCTCCCCTTTGGCAACAACCCTAGCCCCAAAATAGGAGCTGACCAACCCTAATAACACTTTGGCTGAATCGGTCCTAGTAGCCCAGCTGGTTCAACCCTTAGAAAGCCCTGTTTCAGTCTTCCGGGATTTTTGGAGATTTGACTTCGTTCGTCGAATTTTCTGTTTGCACTTTGATTGTGATGAAGTGGTTGCAACCTCTCGAGATTGATGAAACTTTGACGGTGGCTCGAGAAGCACCTTGATCCCACTGGCGAGTACGCTGACTCCCAAAAGAAGAGTTTTTTTCACCTACGAACACATCTATCTCCATATCGATCAAATCTTTTGGGGGTTTACTACTGAGCTGAATTGGGTTTGTGTCCTGCATAGACTGTTGAATCCTCCCAAAGTAATCCATGGTCGGTTCAACCTGATTTGAAGTGAGAGTAACTTGAACCTCCCTGTAAGGTGGTAGCCATGGTGGTAAGTTATCAACCATGCTATCTCAAAATGCTCTGTCTTGGCTGTCCCGTGTTTGAAGTTGATTTCTTAGTCCTGCCATCCTTTGTCGTCACCAAAATTGGTCCTAGCGATGCTGCTTTGCTGGTAAGGGCACCTGTGATCCTAAGCTCCGCCCAAGGGAGGACAATGCACTTCCCAATCTTGGAGGAGTAGGTGTTTCTGAATCTGTTTTGCTAGGTCCTACGGTTAAAATGTCATAGTTTCCCTCAACAAGTGACAGACATCCATGGGTACCACGTCACATCACATCAGATTATGCAACTGACTCCCAATCGAAAACTCTACTAGGCACCTACGATCAATACTGACCCTATCCTCCTTCAACCACCTTAGAGAATACGATTAGGAGTGACTCCGAGTCATGTGACCCAACTTCACCATATGTGTAAACTCCACTTTCTTACTGCTCCTTCCATCGATGATAGATTATATACCTTCCTGTTCATAGTACAAAGAGTGTATAATATATTGTGGTGAAACCGCTGCCGATCCCTCGTATCCTCAGTCTGTAGGACTTGTCGTACCACAAGCATCTCTCCTTCAATCGATGGAAGATGATATACCTCTCATTGTTCCTCATGTGTTTTTCTCATTGCTAATCTTCTCCACAACGCCTTGTTCGGTAAAAGACACTACTCAGCTCGTCGGGCAACTGGAGGCTATGTGCTCAAATTTTTGGTATCTAAAACATTTTCGGGCGGGAACTGTAGTAGGTGGGCTACTTTTGTGCTTACCCGAACCATCTTTCTCAACTCCCTGAGACATGCTTCTGCTAGTGTCTCCAACTGTGGGTGGCTACATGAATGGTGGTAGTTTCCTGTTATGTTTCTGATGCCTCTCCAGTTTCATTGCTAAGGTCTGAACATCTCAGTGACCAATAAGGTTGTAGCTGCACAACTTCGTTGATAGCGAGCTTCAGACCCCCCTCCTAACGAGCTATGTTGTGTTCCTCTAGCTCGTCCAAATCACATTTCACCTGCAATCAGTCAAACTGTGTCATGGACTCCTCCACTGATATATCTTTCTGCTGCAGGTGGAGTCTCAAAAATATCCTGACTGTAGTGAGTAGGTTTGTATTTTCTCTGCTCGCATCTTCTCCCACTTGTTAATCTTGTTATTTAATTCTCTCTTCCTCTATTTTCGGAAGTTTTACCATCACAAGGAGGCGTTTTTTTTCAATTTGATAGCTGTAAGCTTCACCCTTTTATCTTTTGCGCCTCTTTGTACTCAAAGATCCTATCAACTAAATGTAGTCGTCGATAAAGTCATTTGGATCCTTACCTTCATCAAACTCTGGTAGATCAACCTTTATTTTGAAGTCCATGTGTCCTTCATATGTGGCCTCTTCTCTCGGCCTTCTCTGATACTGGATTCCAAAACATCTTGACCTTTCTTCATCATCACTGAAATCTTTCTTATGGAAGGTATTGAAATTCTCTTCTCTTTCGCCACTTCAACTTTCTCAGTCACGATCGAGGGTAATTTCCCCTGAGGTTCATCATTCATGTCCGCAAGCCTCCGTTGAAGTTGACAGATCTCTCATTGTATCTCTTCTCGGTTAGGCTTTGACATGTATCTCGTTGGTGATATGGTTAGGGTTTAGGTTTGTGAGGTGTAGGAAAATGTATGAGACTAATTGAAGGCGTAGGAACATTAATTTGGGATTGCTGATTTTGAAAATCAACAAGGGGAAATGAGGGTTAGGTCAAAATTTGTGTTTGGTTTGGGAATGGGAAAGAAAATTTTTGGGTGGAGGTGGCTTTGGTAGGGGCGGGATGCTAGGAAATCCTAGGATAGGATCAGGGTTAGCAAGTTCAGTTAACCCAAACTATAATAGAACTATAAGTATGGTTGCTTGAATTCAAATAGGTTGCAACTACAACTCTTCAAAACAGGAAATGCACGATAAAAAAGGCAAAAGGACATCAATCAGGATGCTAGGAAATCCTAGGATAGGATCAGGGTTAGACAAGTTCAGTTAACCCAAACTATAACTATAAGTATGATTGCTTGAATTCAAATAGGTTGCAACTACAGCTCTTCAAAACAGGAAATGCACGATAAAAAAGACAAAAGGACATCAATCAAACTAACCTTAGAATAGAAATTAGCGGATATACATATAATAGATAGCTAAGATGGGGAGGCCTCTCCTCTTGGGAGGCAACCCTAGCCCCCAAAATAGGAGCCGGCCGGCTCTAGTAACCCTTCGGTAGCCTAGCTAGTTCAGCCCTAAGGGAGCCCCGCGTCATCAAGTAAGGTTTCAATGACCATTATATTGGTGCCTTATTGAGTGGTTACTTGTAACTTAAGAGGAGTAATGACTTAAAGAGCCATAGTCAAAGTAAAAGTAACTAACTCTGACTTTAATGAAGGATGATTTCTCTTTGAATATGCAAAAATAATGTTGAAGGAAAAAGCGATAAGGTATGATGTAGCTTTCTAAATCATACATCATTGTCGCAATCAGAGCTGTCCTCTAAAGAAAATAGTTGTGCAAAGCTAGGTCAAGTAGGTGACGCTTTATAAAGTGGCCCTTCAGCTTGTCTTAGCCGTGCGCTTCTAGTTAAAGAACCTCATTGGCATAATTTAAACTTTCATAGAAAACTTCTTTTTCTACTTAAACAAATGAATTGATTTACCAATCTCTTTTCTAGAATGAAGTTCCAAATCAACGATATCGTGAACTTCAAGTTCAGACAACTTCTATGCTCTTGCCCTTCATTAATTAGAACATCTCGGATATGTTAATCTTTTTGTGCATGTTTCAGAACTTTCTCTAGCTCTCTAACTAAGCAAGATCTAGCGGATAACTCCTTCAGTGCTTTCATCCGAGACTTTTTATTTCTCAGTATTTTCTTCAGTAAAAAGGACCTCTTTTTATTTGACTCCGACATCATGCAATGCCCAATTGATTTACTGATACTTTATGTTGGTGTAGAACATGGCCGAGTATGTGCCAAATAATAAATGCATACATTTTTTCTGGCATTTTTAAGATTGGAACTTTATTCATGAACTTAAAGTCAAGCTTTAAATGAATGGCTTAGTAGATTTGTCTTCGTCGTAGGAAGGACCTCATGGTCCATCTAGATGGTGCCCTTAGTTCCTTTTTTTTTCCATTGAAGAATATCCTCCTTTTTAGAGACTTTTTCTTTTTACTGGAAAGAGAAGGTGGAGTAAGCCAACAGACTAGCTAATTGATAAAACAGAAGAAGGTCTAGTCTGCCATTACATAAAAAACCCAAAGATGATCCAATTGAAATCAAAATTTCTATAAGTCAACCAATTAGATGACACTTTGACTCTAGCTTCTTCATATATGTCAAACAATTGCCTCCCCTGTCGGCTTGATGGTTGAGGCACCTATAGTGGACTGCTTGGCTAGGTTAGCAATGGCCCAACTTGTAATCACTAAATTGTTCCATTGGGCAAAGTGACTGAATCTTTGAAGTTTTTAAAAGAATTCTTAATTACAAATTGTCTATGGAAAGACATGTTGAGAGAAGTTACATAATGTCCAAGGAAATTCTTTGAAAGGACTAGATAGATTCCATGATGATAACATCAATCATTTAGGTTGAAGTCATCTTGTTAAGCATATATGGATATATTTCGAATCAACCGCTTTGCTTTTGTTATGGGTAAAAGGTTTTCCATCGTCATATAGAACTTGAGTTCTTTTGCATAGAGACCTTTTACTTGCGTGATCGAAAACTATTGAAGGTCTCTCTTTTGCACTTGGAACATGCATGAGTAAATGTTCATTGACCAATGAATCTCAAATAGGCACATCACTATCCCGCTTGGGAAATTGTGGCACAATCATTGGTATTAATTATTTTTGGTAGGAGTGAAAGCCCAAAATAGTCCCTTGACTATTAAGAAGTGTCTAATTTAGTCCTAGAGTTTTAAAATGCTTCAATTTAGCCTTAAACTATTAAAAAGTACTCCAAATTGGTCCTAAGTCATATTTTCCGTTAAATTCAACAGCTCCTTTCACATTTTGAATCTAATTCTATCTATTCGCAAAATTCATGAGTTAAACTCATCAAGGGTAACTGCATCAATCACAATTTTTCATTCACATACATAATATATTTAAAACGTCATAATATTTTAAAAGTAGAATGAAATTCATTCATTAGTTTTTATTCATTCATTAGTTTTTCAAGTTAATTTTAACTATTTTAAAACACATTCTCTAATAAATAATATTAAAATTAAAAATTCAATTGAAATCGAGTAATTCCAACCCGACTCTAACAATACATCAATATCAATATTCTTTTCCATTTACGTGCCTGAATAATTTAGTATTCTCCCACTAGTACAATGTAGGGCTGTCAAAAAAGCTCGTTGTTCGCGAACAACTCGTGTTCGGCTCTTTAAGTAGCTCGTGTTCAGCTCGTCTACTTTCTAAGTTTAAATCATAACACCTTGTGTGACAATGTAATTAGTGCCTTCTTTTGCATACATTTGATCCAGGTTCAAATCCAACACTTTACATCTATTTTTTTCAATTTAATTTTAACGAGTTAATTTCAAATCAAATACGAGTTGAACACGCGAACATGAACACACTGTTCACGAGCCGATTTCAAACACGAACAATTTCAAACGAGCCGAACACGAGCTAAGTCTGAGTTCTCTCAAGCTCGACTCGTTTACAACCCTAGTACCATAAATATGTGATATCTATTGTAGTCAAACATACACCTACAATCAATGAAAATAGTCAATCTCTTTTTTATTCTTTCATAACATTCATTACATAATATAATTCATTGAATTATACATTTGATGGACATATGCAAATATCAGTGACATACAATTTATTCTTTTTATTTTTACTATAGTCAAATGAACTTAAAGAGTAGATATATATATTTTTTTTTGATTTTAGTCTAGTGGTGTAAATTCTATTATAACAATTAACATAGTGTATCAGATTTAGAAGAAATTAAATACTACTATAATTTAAAAGTACACGTACTCATCTTAAAACTTAATGACTTGTCTTAAACCTTCCAGCCGACTTAATTTTTGTCTCTAATAGTTGCATATACTATTGTAAAAAAAATTTGTTTTTAAGCTTATCATTAATTATGTTTAAGTATTCTTTAATTAATTATGTTATTTTAATTGTTGGTTAGAAGCTTTATTTTAAGTTTTCATGTTAATTTAATATGACTATCAAAACTACAATTTTGATAACATCTCTGATTTGTATTAAATTTTATTCAATATCCCATGAATGTCCACTCTAATTTAAATAAGTAATTCTAAATTTTATTTTCATATTTTAAATAAATCTTTCATACTATTATTATTATAATATTTATTGGTATTACGTATATACAAACCAAATAATTTATTTTATTTTCAGCTTTAGGTTCGATGCCTTCTCCCACTTGACTTCTGCGTACACACAGCTAGTTTGCTCAACTTGGGCAGCTTGAATCCTCTGCCTGAAGGTTTACTCGCGGACGCTTCTTCTTTTTCTTCCTTTTCCCCTCTCATCGTACACACATCTAGCTTACACACGGCTAGTTTGCTCAACTTGGCCTGCTTGAATGCCCTACGCGAAGGTTTGCTCGCAGATGCTTTTTCTTTCTCTTCGTCTTCCCCTTTCGCACTTTCACTTTCTCTCATGTAGTGGTTCAAATGGAAAGAATAGGGATAAGTTTTCTGTTCATCACCTGCTAGTGAAATATCTTTCAAATGAAGGTGTCGTAAGGAAATTATTATTATTTATTTTTATTATGTTATTATTATTATTATTATTTAAACTGTTATTACACTTGGCCTTTTGGTTCTTGACTAATGTTTTATGTCTTTTACAAATTTTTGTAGTGTAAAAAAAAATGATAATGGACTTCGAAAATTGAAATTTATTTAAATTTTTTCTTTATATTTTATTTTTTTAATAAGGTTTTTGATTTATGGATTAGTTAGAATATAAATTTTTTGGTGCAGACACTCTTGCTTTAGCATTTATGCTCCATCCCATCGTAGGTTTAGTTCCCTGTTTGTTAAAATTTTACTTATGTGTGTTCTAACTAGCCTTAAAAATCCTCTTTGGATGCATTATTGATGGTAACATCCTAGCCATCCTTTGCCTTCGTCCACTTCTCATTGATGTTTGGTTAATCATGACCTGCGATTTCTAGGGAGTACACTTGAACTAACAAAAAGTTAATTAGGATTTATTTGAATATCGAGTTTTATTGTCAACCGGATTTCTTCTTTCAACCTTTATTATTTAGGTTTGGAATTGAAAGATGACAATTTCATGTTTATCACCAAACTTATTATAAATTTAATTCTCAAGTTAACGTGTTGTTAACTATTTCAGACTTAACTGCACAAGTATGCTACTGTGTTACATGATAATATGCATCATATTAAATTATTGAAAAAAGGGTATAACTTACGACACTTCTAAGTGTTTCAATTTTTACTTCTTTTGGTAGGGATTATTTGTGGAATTATCAATTATGCACAATATTTATTTCTGTAGGGGATTATATAGAACTAAACAACAACAACACGACTTTGTACCACTGAGTGGGGCCGATTACATGAATCTTTTTTGTTCATTGTGTCATATTGAGTGTCATATTTTTATTTAATTCTAATGAATTAAAATAATTTTTTATATAACATGCTCATGTTAAGGCCTACCTCTATTTTTCTTAACATAAGCCAATTTTAAGACATCTGCTCTCCTAACAAGGTCATTAGATGGTCGACATTTAACACAACCAAATCATCTAAGATGACTCTAATCTTGTATGTCACTGGAGCTACTTCAACCCTTTGATGCACATATTCGTTTCACATTTTATCTCTGAGTGTAAAGCCACTCATCCGTCTGAGATTCTTATCTCAGCACACTTAATTTTATGTCTCTCTTTTGTAGACCAACATTCTACACCATAAATCCTTACATGTCTCATCACCATCTTATAAAATTTTCCTTCAAATTTAAGTGATACTTTATCACACAATCTGTTCGATGCATTCCTCTTCTATCCACTTCAACCATCCAATTTGAATTCTACTAATAACATCCCCTTCTATCACCATCACATTGAACAATAGATCCGAGATATCTAAAGCATTCACTCCTTTTAATGATTTGATCACCTATTGTTACAACTCCATCACTAGATCTACCACTACTAAAATTACATTTCGGTATTCAGTTTTAGATCTACTCAACCGAATGCCTCCATAAATCAAGTTTTTCTCTCTCTCTCTAGTCTTATCCACAAGAAGGATAGCATTTCGGTATTCAGTTTTAGATCTACTCAACCGAAAACCTCCATAAATCAAGTTTTTCTTTCTCTCTCTAGTCTTATCCACAAGAAGGATATCATCAACAAAAAATCACACACTAGGGTACATCCTTATGTAAAGTTCCAATAAGAACATCCATTATTAAAGCAAAAAGATTCGAGCTTAAAGCTGATCGCTGATATAATCCAGCTGCAATAAGAAAATCAGATTATATAGATCTCACAAGCCTTTTTTTTTTCCTACAACAGGTAAACGTGGTCATCATAAACATTGGGGCACAAGAATGTACAAATATGGTGATGTTGATGTTTTACACTTTCTTTTATCAAATTTGAAGTGGTATTCTCTTAAACTTTTTTTACTGTCAAATTGTAACGCTATTCCTCCGCACCCCAACTCCAATCTACTTGTTCTTGTTCTTCACATTTATCATCTATAAGAGGTTTGAGAAATTTATGGATGGAATTTTTATAGGTGGGTCACCGAGTACCTGATTGATGGTTTCAACTTCCACTCCCTTTCATCAATGTTCTACACACATAATGGATTTGCAACATTTTCCGGTGAAATGGAGGAGTAAATGCTTTATTTGCTATTTGATATGATAGATTTTAATTTTAGTAACCTCTACTGATATTACTAGGCTGTTCTTTTATTGTAACGGCCTCTGCATAATGCCAACATGTCTTCCTCACGTTTGGTTGCCAGAGCAGATGCCCAGCTATTTTTTAAGGCCATGTTAAAAGTGAAGCACAGCTTCTTTCTTTACATGTTTTGCCTCTGTTGGAAATCACTATCGCTTTTCAGTTCACAAATTTTCTTAACAAATTCGAGCTTTATAATACACGCACAATCTTTTCTGACATATTGATGGTGAAGACAATTTTGCCTAACTAAGCCTTCTTCAAGAAAATTTCCTTGTAAATTCTTCTATTTTTTTTCAATTGTTTGGGATTAGCAATAATTGTTTTGTTTACTTTTATTTCTTATGCAGTGTTTCTAGATTCGTACGTCTGCTTTCAAATTGTAATTTTTTAATATATATATTTTTTCTTGCTTCTGGCATAAATTATCACTTCTTTATTTGCTGCATGCATTAATGAATGACATTGAGTGTCTTTCTCGTAATAGGTATTGCAACCAATATGTTGATAAGGATGCTTTAATCTATCTAATTTTGGCAAATGAGATGCTACATGATGTTCATCCAAATATTATAACCATAGCAGAGGATGTAAGCTATCTTTTCTATCTCGGCTCGTTTATTTTGTTTATATCTTGTGTTTGGACATCCATGTCTTACGTTGAGCATATTTACGCTAGACATAAAATCAGCCAGAGTCTCTAATGCCAAAAGACCAACTGATCCACAACGTTTATAATAAGTAACTTTATGTATCCTTTCTTCTATAATTTGATTGGTAACTGTTCATTTTTGATGAGGATTTGGAGCTTATTTTCCACAAGCGGAAGGAAATGGAACATGCCTGCTTTGACATGGATAAATATGCTCACACTTTTAATTTAAATCATGGTCTTTTGGTCTACATGCTTAACTACTTATTTTAAAACAGAAAATAATCATGAAAATACATGTTTGCATGGGTTTTAATTTTTGTGCTTGCGTAAGGATAATCTTATCATAGGTGTGTTGGAATTCAAAAGATTACACTGTACCAAATGTACAAGATTTATCAGATGGCACTAATATCCGGTAATACCAACATTTAATCAACAGTAAACCATACAATTAAACTTGTGTGGCTTTCCTTAGAAAAGCTGTTGAGTCTTCTGCTTTTCTCTATTAATTTTAACTGATTTAAATAGTGGTCATTAGAACATCATAAAAGACTTTATCTACTACTATTTTTTGCTAAATGATGAACTTTGTTTTTGGCAATACTTTATCCAAACCTCATTGTGTTAATCAAACCTAACTTGGTGGTTTGGTAGCAGCGTGAAAGCCAATTTTCATTTATAGGCTGTAACGTGGCATAGGTGATGTTGGGCTTGGTGTCCGACTGAACCGACCAGTGGGTTCTGCAAGGGAGATAGTCTAGGATCGCAGGAGGCTGGACTGCTGACCAGCCCTCCCTCCCTCTCCCATGTGGTGGGAAGTACTGCCCAATCTCTCTCCCTTCCTATTATATCCCCTTCTTATTCTAACTAGTATTATCAATTTTCTATTTGCTATTTATTTGCTTAGGTGCAGTTTTCATTTTTTTTTCAGAGTTCTGATTGCTGCCTCCGGTTATTTTTCTTTTCCTATGGCTATATCCGACAACCTGTTGTAATTCGTCTGAGGTGATGATTATCTCCGCTTGTTCCTCTCTTCTTGCTGCCACCCAATCCACTAGCAGGCTCCTCGCTCACAACCACCTTCCCTTCAGTCCCTTCCAGCAGGCTGCTGTTACTTCATGCTTCCTCCAACGCTTTTGCATCTGCCTCCAGTCCCTTCCAGCAAACCGCTGTTACATCCTGCTCCCTCCAGCACCGTCGCATCTGCCTTCAGTCCCTTTCAGCAGGCCGCTGTTACTTGCTGCTCCCTCCAGCTCTGCCGCACTTGCCTCCAGTCCATTCCAGCAGGTTGCAGTTACTTCCTACTCCCTCAAGCATTGTCGCGCCTGCCTCCAGTCCTGTCCAGCAGGCCGTCGCTACTTTGTGCTCCCTCAAGCACTGCCGCACTTCCCTCCAGTCCCTTCCAGCAGGTCGCCATTCCCTTTTGCTCCTTCTAGCACTACTACACCTCCCTCCAGTCGCTTCCAGACCTTCACTCTCACCCTAGAGGGCTGTTTATGTGTTTTGTGTTGTTTTATTCTTATTTTTAGGAGTCATCATTGTGATCTTTTGAATTTCAGCAATAATATTTCATTTTTATTGTGATTTGGGTGAACTCAGGTATCATTTGGTATTAAAGCTAGTCTAACCCTAGTCCTAGCTTAGGATTTCCTAGCATTCGCCTTTCCTATCCACCAAATTTTTTTTCTTTTTTGTCCTTAACCATCCCTTCCAAACTCAAGCCCTAATAATGCCATCACGGAGATACATGCCGTAAACTACCCAAGACGAGATATAGAGGGAAATGTATCGGCTTTAACAGAAGCTTGCAGAATTCGAGGAACCCAGTGAGAGATTAATCTCGAGAGAGAGATTAATTTCGTCCATGATTTGGAGAGTAGAAGGGGAGATAAGGATACATAGAAAGCATCAACAACAAGGAATATCAGCTGTGTCGTTTCAGAATTCATTATCAGAGGAGGTCAAGAGAAGAACCCACATATGACAGACACATGGACTTAGAATCAAAATGGATCTACCAGAGTTTGATGAAGGTATGGATTCAGACGAGCTTATTGACTGGATGCAATCTGTTGAGTGGATCTTTGAATATAAAGATGTGCGAGGGGATAAACGGGTAAAATTAACAACTATCAAATTGAAGCAGAGCATCTTTTTGTGGTGGGAGAACTTACAAAGACAGGGAAATAGAAGACAGTGATAAGATTATCAAGTGAGAAAAAAATGAAGAAAACAATTCAGAAGAAATACCTTCCACCTCATTACAGATTAAATGCGAGTTGATCAAGCCAGATGAGCACACTATAGCCTGGTACCTGGGGGGCCTGAAGCCCTCTATTAGCAATGTAGTGCAGTTAAATCCATACTAGACGCTGGGGGATGTTCCAACTCCAGCCTTGAAGGCGGAAATACAACAAAAATAGACCAGACAACAGTTTTTATTCGTGCATCAGCCTTTAGTAAGTCAGTCACCTACAACTACCTCGACCGACAAGTGTACCTTGAGAGGACCTAGCAAAACAGGCATAGAGATGCAAAGACAGAGCAATGTGGAAAGAAACCGCAGAAATGTAGCTCTTTGAGTATAGTACCTGCCATGAGATATTTTAGGTGCCACGACTACGAACACATAGCCTTCAGCTGTGCCATGAGTCGAGTTGTCACATTCATAGAGCAGGGCACCATCGAGGAGGTGACAAATGAGGAGTCGGAGGATAGTCTAGAGGAAGAACTTCTGCTTTAGAGGGATGAGGGAGAATTATTAGTCATATACAGAGTTTATAGGGAGACTAATTCCAGTGGACAGAGGCTGCTCGGAATAGTTTCAAGGCACGCAAGCAGAAGGTGACCCATGCGCCACTCTTGGCATAATCGGACTTCAACCAGTTGTTTGAGGTAAAGTGACGCATCCGACGTGGGGATATGAGCAATGTTGAGTTAGTGAGGTCACCCCATTGTTTTTTTCAGTGAGAACCTGAATGCTTCCTTGAGGAAATACTCGATTTATGACAAGGTGTTTTATGCTATTGTGAGAGCTCTTGAACACTGGTGCCATTACCTCTTGACGAGTGAGTTCACATTTTTCATGGACCATGAAGCCTTGAAATTTTTGAACAACCGGAATAAGTTGAAGGGTAACACGCAAGTTGGTTTGATTTTCTAGTGTTATTCTAGTTCGTGCTTAAGCACAAAGCTGGGAACCAGAACCGCGTAACAGATGTACTGAGCTGTCATTACCTGTTGATCACGTCGATGTAGGCTCGAGTTGTTGGGTTTGAGATTGTAAAAGACTTGTATGAGGAAGATGAAAACTTCAAGGAGATATGAGAGAAATGTGAGGAAAAACCTACCGAGCAGTACTACATAGTTGATGGCTACTTGTTCTACCAGAGTAAGTTATGCATTCTTAGATTTCATTGAGGAAGCCATTGTTCAAGAGAGCCACATTGGAGTGGCTGGACATTTGGCTGGGACACGAGGACATTGAGTTTTGGAGACGATATTGTTTAGGTGTTTAATCTTGTCAATTATGCAAATAGCCCACTTTGGAGACGATATTGTTTAGGTGTTTAATCTTGTCGATTATGCAAATAGCCCATGGAGATACGAGGATTTACGTCGTGTCACGCGACAATCTCAGAACCTAAGGCGAGTTAGGACACGTCGTGTCACGCGACAACCTCGGAACCTAAGGCGACTTAGGAAAGCTGCACAACATGATTGTGCAGGAGCCTAAAGAAGGTGTGAAGATTTACGTCGCGCTGGGCGAGCTACCTCGAAGTCCTATGGGTTGTTATTTAGACTAAGAAGAGAGATTGCTGAAGAAGATCCTCTTGTTGCTCGATCCAAGCTCCTTGCCGTGCTGCCCATAAAGCTGACTCCAAGCTCCTCGTCGAAGTGACAGTCCAAAAATCTAAAGTTCAAAAGATTTTACCATGTGTGTTTCAAGATTTTGATTTTGTTGTCATTTAAGCATTATGAGAGACTTAAAGTTGATTAGAGCGACACCGGTTATGATCCCATGATTCCCTTGTTCGGGTACCATTATTTTGTTTTGAATTTATTTAGTTTAAACGAGTTGTTAAGCTCATTTAAACTGGGAAGATCTCACTAACAACCGTGGGTTACCTCATCCGAGGGACTCCCGTAAATTCAAAAGTATGTGTTATGTTTTTTTTTTTTTGAAAATGTTGTTTAATTTTGAAAAATTTTGTTTTGAAAATGTTGTTGCAATTTTTGAAAATTGTTTTGTTTTGAAAATGTTGTTGAATTTTCTAAAATTATTTTGTTTTGAAAATGAAATCCCAACCAAACATGCATGATACATTAAAACAAGAGTAAATTACAGTAATAAAATGATCATAAATAAAATGTACATGTGTACCAGGCGTATCTGCTGCTGTTGTCCCTGCTGCATGGTTTGCTTAGAAAACATAATATAATTTGCAGGGAATTTAAATAAATTTGTAGGTAAAGGGAGAAAACAAAAATTCTAGTGTAAAAAGCGGCAAAACAAGTCGTAACAACAACCAATAACTTCGAACAGGTGATCCTAAAGCTTCCTACCACTCCAGACAGCAACTAAGAACTCCCACTAGTGTAAAAAGCGGCAAAACAAGTCGTAACAACAGCCAATAACTCCGAACAGGTGATCCTAAAGCTTCTTACGACTCCAGACAACAACTAGGAACTCCCAACGGTGATCCTACGACCTTCTATGGCTCCGGGCAGCAACTAGCAAGCTTACGCGGTGATCCTACGATCTCCTACGACTTCGGGCAACAACTAGCAAGCTTGCACGATAATCCTACGACCAATTACGGCTCTGGATGACAACTAGCAAGCTCGTACGGTGATCCTGCAACCTCTTACGGTTCTGGGCAGCGACTAACAAGTTTGTACGGTGATTCTACGACCTCCTACGGCTTCGGGTAG